TGTAACGCCGTTATTGGCTGTTCTCAATACGCTTTTCAGCAACACCAGAATTAAAGGAGAGAAATTGTCACAGAAAACCAAATGTCACCAAATGTCTGACATAACCCCTTATTTGTAAACAGAAGAGCCTGCTGCATGAAACATTTCAGAAATACCAGCGGCCTTCCTGCAATTTTGTAATGAAAGTCCTAACTAAATTTGGCGTAGGTGATAAATGTGCCGGCCTTTATGGCGGAGACCGTAATTCTGGTCCCTGAATCAAAGCATCCCAATCGCTATTTAAAATTATTGCTGGAAAGGCATTTTCTCATCTGCCCTTATCGGTTTTGCTTCCGTCTGTACAGAGCTAAATGTAGATTTTTTTCTGCCTTTTCCTTCCCTAAGAATCTTCAGCATTTTTGTCAATCTCTGAATGGGATTTTTTGCGTAGTCGGTGTCTTCATTTGTTACCCTAGATGCCTTTCAAATGTGCCTCCAGAGCCCATTCAGTACCTTGTAATAGTTCAGTGACAAAAATTTTCACTGTGTTTGTCTACGTTTTACATAAAGTCAATTTTGGAAGTGTTACAAAAGACAGCGATTGACTGAATACCAAATGGAAGTACAAGCCCACCCCCGATCTCCCAACGACATCCTATTAAAAAATAATAACCCCCAAAATGTACAGTAAGAAAGCCTTTCTCGTGTTAGTAAGTACACAACTTTTTCGTAAACTGTGGTGACAGTGACAGAAAAAGAACAGTACGGTGCTGCTGCACCGATCCACATCACTTGTGTTGTGTGAGATTGTGTGCGCTCATAAATTTTGTATGTGAATATAACAAGCATATGTATAATGCAACAGATCCCATAGATACTGTAAATGTATATGCCTTTGGTAAGTGGGAGGGTAGATAAAGAAGATGAGTGGGCAGCATACAGGATAGAAAGAGATTTATTTTGTGGACAAATGATATATAGATGCCACAAGAAGATAGAGAGAGGAAAATGAAACGAGCAATAGAGTGATGAAGGAAAGGAGAGATGGGCAGATAGACAGGAGAGAGGTAATTCACAGAGTGATGGTGTTCCAGCCAGATGTGCAAAGTTCACAGGGACAGTGGTTAAACTACTGGAAAGCTGTGCTGAAGGGATTCGGTGACACGTAACTGCAATGGCTGGACAGGACTGAGATGGCTGGTACCGTGGGGATGGAGGGCAGCTAGTAAACGGACTGACAGACAGACAGGAGACAGACACACTTGGTAGGACACTGCATGCAATGGACAAACAGACAAGGCCAATACTGCAAATGAAAGCTAAATAAAAGGCAAACAAACGGAAAGAGAGGATGGGCAAATGCAAGCCTCAACAGACAGATGCAGGCAGTGAACCAGATGAATGTGCAGGGCAGGCAGACAAGGCAAGGGATGCAAGAGATGGAGCGGGACAGGCAGAGGAGGGACAGTGGGACACGCAGGGACAGAGACAAGCCCCGGTGCAGCTGGAAGGACAGCCGGAGGGGAGCCGGGGGCACAGAGGCCGCGGAGGGATGGAGGGACAAGAGAGGGGAGTTGCAAGGCACAGCCCGGGGAGAATCCCGGGCACAGGGGCACAAGCAGGGAGGACGG